ATCCATCCATCCATCCATCCATCCATCCATCCATCCATCCATCCATCAGTGCTCAACCCACACGCCCGCTATGCTCAGTGGGCAGTGTGGCGAATTTCCTGGTTTGGGCACACTCGCAGAGACGATGCCGGGCAGTTTGGTGATGAAAAGCGGGGTTGAACTTAACCCCGGCTTTGGAACCGCACCCAGAGGAACATGGCCACCCTCCTTGTGTCAGATGTCCTTTGAGCTTGAACAGAGTGAACGAGAGATTATATATCAATGATCCACAGCTGTTGCTGCCCCTTATGCACGTGGAGAGGCACTCAGTCCTTTTGTCGATTGCGTTGCACCGCGCTTGTTTCGCCAGCTCCAAAAATGGTGGGGGCATCGCCCGCCCTACCTTCATGCTTCCTGGAAGGATAGTTGGCTGGCTTGGGCTTGGTTGCCCAAACCCCCAGCCCCAGCATTTGAGACATTGCAGGATCCATTGGGAAAATGTGTGATGGCCTTCTTGGCACGCGCCCTGAGAGCTCATGCCTTTTCCAATTTCCAAGCTGTGCAAACTCCCACGGGCAAAGCAGGGGCGCCGGCGATGCTTTGTCCAAGGGCTTCAGCTCAGTTTGACGTGGCCCGAACCACTCTGAAAGCTCACGCTCGACGCACTCCGCGTGTAATTGCAGCCGGTGGTTCTTTCACCGCAGTGTGTGGGGGTTTGCAACTTTTCATTGACATCCGCCGTGCTTTTGATTCAATTCCTCGTGATTTTTTTTGCAGCCTTGATGACATTGATACTCCTCCCGCGCTTGCTTCTGTCCTCAAAAAGTGGCACGCTGACACTCACTATGTACAATCGCCTGTTTTTTAAGACCATGTTTCCACTCATATAGACCATATAGGTACAGTATCCGACAGGGCAGCTCTGTGGAGTATTGCCATGTGGCAACTCTTGAACAGATGTGTGGCATGTTTTGGCGCCTGGGTTTCGGCCAGATTGAACCAGTATCCGGATGGTTTTCATGTGTGTAAAACTTTTGACATTCTAACGGGCTTTCAACAGTTGCTTGACCAAACTTGGCCGCCTCCTGGACATCATAGCTGATACAAAGGTTTGAAGACCCAGATGGTGGCAGCTACTCGTCCGTGCGCCTGGTCAAACAAGCTGTTTATCTAGGAGCAGTCATTAACTACTATGACTATCAAGATGCTGCTGTCAAAGCGTGTGTCAAAAGCAGCGTGAATGCGTTCAATCGACTTAGGAAGTGGCTCAGAGGTCCTAGATGCCTCACCATGCACCATAAATTTACAGTGTGGCAATCGTGTGTTTTGAGCATTCTCATGTATAGCATCGTGGACATTGGAATCACCGCCAAACGAAGTCAGCAAATCTGATCTCATATCACACGCACGCTTCGTTTGTTTTATAAAGATCATCCCTATCAGCAGCCACCAAGACTTTTTTTGCCATTGCCGCCTGCCAACGGCGGTTGACCTGGTCATGACCCGCCTGGACTACACTCCAGACTGGGCTGTCGCTCTGCAGGTGATGTTGTTCGAGCCAGACCCATGTATGGTAGGGCCAGTCCGTAACAATGGAACCATGCCCTGACCATGTCGACCCCTGACCGGCTTGTCCACACTTTCTCCAGCCGCACTCTCCTGGCAGATTCATGGAAATAAGCTTTGACCAAGCAAGAATGCGCTCGATGGCTTGCCCGCGTGTGCGCACGGTGCTCATGCATTTTATGACTGGCGCGCCGGACTGTATTGAAAGTCGTGCGTGCCTTTTGCTTGATCCGACCAAGGACATTCATGATGCGAGCTCAGCTGCAACTGGCTGAGACCTGGGAAGATTTGCCACTGGATGAGCCTCTTCGACTCTTCGAGCGTTCCTGATGTGGAGCATACAGTTTGATGTTCACAGCAGCAGGACATAGATGCCCAAGAACGCGCGTGGATCGTGGTTCCAGTGGTGCGTGAAATCTCGTCCAGCTTGGACAGCTCGATCAGCAAGTGTGCTATGACAGCGTTGAAGATGCAAGGTCAGTTGACCTGTTGGAGTACCAGCTGACCCTTGGCGCCGGACACCAATGTCACCTGCTGCCGTGCAGCTACCTGGATGAACTCCATTTCATCTCAACGCGCGCACGCGCACACCAGCGCACAGGCATAGGCCCTCAGCGATGGATCGAGCTGCTCAAAGACTGCGCCGAAAAAGCACAGCTCAGCGTGCAATCTGAGAGCCTGTGGCTTCTTTGTACGGAGTTGGCCACCATGCTGAACCATTGCTGGCAGGGACAGTGCATCTTCCACCCGGCTCCTGCTTGACCTATTACCACCACTATAGATGCCGTTCAACAAGTCCGCGGTCTTGCCGCGCGTCTTCATTGAGGCCCTTCTCCGCTCAAAACTACACGCAAGCTTGCTGGCGCATCTGGCTGGCCTCATCCGCTCAGCTGTTGCTCTGATCAGATGATGGAGCGTCGACGGTGATTTCCGGCGCAACTATGGACTCCATTTTGTCGACGCGTGGTCCAAACAATACCTGACACAGACTCAATATGTGATTCCTGCGCCTGTGGTTGCAACAGTCATCTATTGCCGGCCGACGCCTCTCCTCACTTCCAGTTGCTCTCCACCCTGTGCCCTGTAATGGTCTTGCCTGACCTACATGCGCGCGCCGGAAGCAATGGACCTACCAACTGCAGGAGACGATGCCACGCCGCAGCGCGCCGAGACCAATGGGACAGTAGCCAATCAGGCCGGCTTTGCAAGCCTTCCGCGGACCATGGTCCAGCCCAAGACCAAGACAAGGCAGGGATTCAACTTTTTGATGGTTCAGGAAACCACTGCTCGACGACGAACGCGCAGTCAGCCAAGCCGAGCTCCCGCGATTGGGAAGGTCTCCAAGCTGGACACCACCCACGGCATGCCAGCAAAAAGTGGCCACTTCCAATAGAGTCATGGTCGGGCAAGCTGGAAGTCAATAGACGAAAGAAGGATTGTCCTTGGACCTTGGAAGAGGTTCCGGAACTTCTCTGCCAACAGGCTCTGAAACCGGGGCCGCCCCATCCCTGAAAAAATGCAAATTATTGGCTCGGATTGACAAAAACAATGCTTTTCGACACGCTCCGCAAGCTCAACTACATGGGCATTGCAGAAGATGACGATGCAACTGCGCAATGCCAAGAGGAGCCGCCTTGCTGTCACACTTCAGCAGAGTATCTATCTATCTGTCCATCGATCCATCTATCCATCCATCTCTCTTTCAACCTCTCTACCTATCTATCTATATCTAGCTATCGAGCTTTTGAGCCATCGAACCATCTACCTATCTACCTATTTATCCACCTATCCTGTCTATCGTTCTATCTTTCTAACTAACTATCTATCTATCTGTCTGTCTGTCTGTCTGTCTGTCTGTCTGTCCGTCCGTCTGTCCATCTCTCTATCTATCTCTCTATCTATCTTTCTATCTATCAATCAATCTATCTATCTATCTGCCTACCTACCTATCTATCTATCTACCTACTAATCTATCTGTTTATCTATCTATCCATCCATCCATCCATCTAGCTATCTACCTGTCTCTCTATCTATCTATCTACCTATCTGTCTGTCTGCCTGTCTGTCTATCTAGCTAGCTAGCTAGCTATCTACCTACCATCGATCGATCGATCGATCGATCGATCAATCGATCCATCCATCCATCCATCCATCCAGCCATCCATCCATCCATCCATCCATCCATCATCTATCTGTCCATCTATCTATTCTTTTTTTTAGCCTTTCTTTCTTTCTTCTTTAAACATATTTTTATAGGTGTTGGTTTGCGCACAAGTCGCTGCGAATTGCTGGCCATGCCATCATCAAGGTGCTGCCTTCGGTGCCAAAGTCTTACTCTCACAGGAGCTGCGAGCGCCAGAGGCCTTTGCACGGGATCAACGAGTAAACCGGATCCCCACATGCACTGAAAGTCAGGCATTTGTTTCTGGTGCTGTAGCAATCTTGCAGCAGCCAAGCCGCCTTTGTTGAACCAAACAATCAGGTAGATAACTAGACTCCCACTTCGCTTGAAACACTGTAATGCAAGCTGCACAAACTTTGTCTGCCCACGACATGGGGCTTCAAACAGAACTGCTGTAATCAGGCTCAACCCGACCTATTGACTTAGTTGGCGGGGCGTACAACCTCATAGGTTTATCTCACTGAACATCGCAAACTCTAGAGCTCACAAAAACCAAGAGGATGACCATCGAGCCTACATGAAGATCGTACTTTCTTGATACACCTGGCGGAAGTAAAGTAAGATCAATGCCCAAGTCACGAAGACGACGCACCACAGCTGTTCGTGAGCTGGGAGAAGCAGAAAACTCTGAAGGCTTAGCAAGCTCTTCAAGGCTTTTGCGGTGCTTTGTCCGTCGATGGAACGCATGTCCTGGAGGAAGCCACATGCATCTGAAATGGCGTGGATGTAGCGCGAAGGTTGCCTCGAGCATACTTATGACTTATGGCCACCATATTCTTATTCTTCAAACAAGGTGCGCAACCAAAAGGGGCTTTGACGGCTTCGGTTGGTTCACATTTTACTAATTGTTGGGGGGGTGCATAAAGAGACCCTTTGCCATACATTGCCTGCATGAGCAGCAGGGGTGGGGCCCGATGAGCTGGAACATGCTGAAAGAGCTGAACCGCGGATTTGGTCACCTATGATGGTCAAAGGTACCTTAGTGGTCTGACCATTTTGCCCAACATCCGCCATATGACAGATGCTTACACCAGGATTCAAAGAGAACGTCAAACGTTGGTTGCTTCGAGGTATGGCTGCTGGACCTCAAAGCCGCGCATTTCAGGGTCCTCACAAAGTTACTAGCTTCACCATTCAATATTTCAATATCTTTCATGATAATAGGACTTTAGCCAAATCAAGCCAAGTGCGAACCTGAACCCAATCACCTTGGTTCCATCCCTCCACCATGTTTCTCCTCTCCCCTCCTTTTCCTAGCTTTCGTCCCTGGCAGTTCTTAAGGAACTTGCAGCATTTCTATTCATTGTAACACAACTCCTTGCAGAATGGGATCGGTGCGCCTAAGAAAGTGCGATGAAGCATGTGCTTTAAGTGAGATTCTTCTGAGGTAGGCATGACTGATGGCAGAACTGGGGTTTACCCAAGATGGAATGCTGATGTTGTTCTATTTGTATTCATAAACCAGCCGCTGATACATGCTTGTGTGTGTTTTGCAGCGTTTGCCAATGCTCTTCCACACATGCACGCCTCTTACATGTAGTGTAGCTCCTCCTCTCAAGTGCGATCATCAAACCACATACTCTCATGACGACTAGGGCTTGACTAGGACTAGTCATTGACAAACAGACCAGGTCAGACAAGGCAAACATCTGGAGTTGAAGCTAAGTTTCCCTAAAAATCTAGGAACCCAACGAATAGAAGAGTGATCTATGCCGAGTCCATAGGTAGTAATAAGCTATTACTAGTAGCACTTAGCTACCTAGCCCTTACTTATTTAAGCAGCCAGCTACTTATATATTCGAGTAAGGGGGGCAAAACAAGGTATTTTAAAGAGTGCGGAGTTGTCGATATAGTCAGCCATGGCGAAGAACATGTGGAAGCGGCGTGCTGGCTGGCGAGACCGTGAGTTTTATCCGTGGCTAGCATCAACATCTATCACTATGCTCGCAACCGCAGCTGCCACTGCGGCTGGTTGTTTTTACTTGAGAGGAGTGACGTGACCAGACAAAGCAACATGGTGCAGTCCTAAAGAAAGGCCTCTTTGTATGGTTGGTTGGTTGGTTGGTTGGTTGCTTGCTTGGTTGCTTGGTTGCTTGGTTGCTTGGTTGCTTGCTTGGTTGCTTGGTTGCTTGGTTGGTTGCTTGGTTGCTTGGTTGCTTGGTTGCTTGGTGGCTGGCTGGCTGGCTGGCTGGCTGGCTGGCTGGCTGGCTGGTTGGTTGGTTGGTTGGTTGGTTGACGTGTGTTGTGGTCTAATTGGCTGCATCATCAAAGGAGATGCTTTTGTGGGCACAAGCACAAGCAGTCTAAGATCAAGCTTCATCAGGAGTGGTCTTCAAGATCTTGGTTGGAACCCTTGGCGTGGTTGTGCTTGGAATGGAATGGCTAGTGAGCGTGCTAGTGCAGCCTCGAAAAGATGACATGGATGACTATGACTACGACAACTGGCTTCTAAACATGCTGGAAGGAGCTCAAGCTTTTGAAGTCAAATGATTCTGTGAAGTATTCCTTTTGATTGGATTGTACATAGTATTTGTTGCAAGACATCGAGCCAAAGTCTCTTTTCCAGGCCCAAAACAGAGGCTTTACAAACATGTTGGTGGCGACGGGAAAATTTTCTGGTGGTGAATCAGAGCTGGACAGTGGACAGTGTATATTTTTGCTGAGTCCGCCACCCTGTTCTTGATTGAATGCAGATCAATAATCTAAAGAGCAGGGTGGGAAAGGTGAAGGACAATAGCAACACAGTGAAGAGAGGAGGCACATCCACTCTGGACGGTCTTCGGACGGATGCTGGCAGACAAGTTTTGGTTGCAGGTTTTGGAGAGTTTCCTGGAAAAGGCCTGGAAGTGCGTCAGCGTTTGGATGCTTGCAAACGGACGAGGGTATTATAAAGCGAAGTGCATTTCTTTGGCAAGTACTTTGATGAAACAGATAGAAGGCCTCGAGCTCAAAGGATGCCAAAACTATCCAGCCGGTGTTGGACTTGATTAAGACACATAGGCATTCTTCCTCAATCCTTGGAGACAAAACCAGCTACTGCCCTTTTTGTTCTTTTTTTGCATAATGCTAAATGTTTCTAATGTTTCCAGCGACTTCTGATTCTGCTTCAGTTGAATCGTTCACAGGCGGATACTGTTCGCTCCGATCACAACGACTTGTGGTGTGTGTGTGTAACCCTTGGAATCACAGGGATCCTTTCGGATTGTTCTTGCTTTTTGTCTTTTCGTTTTGCAGCAGGGGGCCCATGGACACTTGGATGGCATGGGCCAACGAAGACCCATCCAAGCTGTCGTGAAAACGTACCTGCTTGGTGCACCTGGGCGCATTGTAAGACGCAGCTGGTGGCCACCTTTCTTCCTTTTCTTTTGCAAAGTGCTAGTGCATCTGCAGATGTGAGCGGCCGTCGCCACCCTGTCGTTTCGACGTCGAGTTGCGCGTTTGGCCCCACTTCCTTTTGAAGACCCCCAGGCCCTTTAGGATTGTCCTGGACCTTTCAGGATTTGGGTTCTTAGGCCGGCGTGCGGCACCGCATTCACATCAGTACGCATATCCATAAGTGTGTTTGGCCTCGTGCCAACCCGGGATGAGCCCGCAGAGTGCCTCCCGTGGACCCGTTGAACGGGGGTTTGTCGTTATCTCCGCTGCTTTGGAGATGCACGTGTCCAGAGCGGACAATAGGTGGCCTAGGCCGAATGTCCGATGAATTTTGTCTCATCTTTGGAATTCCAAGTTGGCTCATGCCTTTACCTGACCGGAGCGGTCAAAGGTGGCAGCCCGGGCAAGCCGTACGTGGTCGCAGCGACCGAAGTTTGTTCAAGGTTCATTGGAACCTGTCCCAACCTCAGGTGCACACACAGCGCTCACACTCAAACGAGGCAGGTCCCTAGGTGCTTCTAATGAGGTTTGGTTTCATCTGTTCTCGTCCCCTCCATTTGGTTCCCCTTTCATCCCTTCCCCTTCACATACTTTTGTTTCCTCTTTTCTTTCATGTCCTCCTGTCTTCATGTCTGGTCATCTCATCCTTTTCTTCGTTTGCGTGCACATTGGTCCCGGCCTTAGTGTGTACGTGCACTTCTACATACCTTTAAACACAGGTTTCAGGTCGCCCAGGTCTTTACAATGAGGTGGGCTTCATCGGGTGTCCCTGTGCACTTGGTTCCCCTTCATTTCAACCACACGCACCTTTGTCCCGTCTCGTCCTCCTGTCATGTCTTCATTCTTTTGTCTTGTGCGCGCACACGTGCACATTGGCCCTTACCTTAGCTTTACGCCTCCTTTGCAGCAGGGGGCCCATGGACACTTGGATGGCATGGGCCAACGAAGACCCATCCAAGCTGTCGTGAAAACGTACCTGCTTGGTGCACCTGGGCGCATTGTAAGACGCAGCTGGTGGCCACCTTTCTTCCTTTTCTTTTGTAAAGTGCTAGTGCATCTGCAGATGTGAGCGGCCGTCGCCACCCTGTCGTTTCGACGTCGACTTGCGCGTTTGGCCCCACTTCCTTTTGAAGACCCGCAGGCCCTTTAGGATTGTCCCGGACCTTTCAGGATTTGGGTTCTTAGGCCGGCGTGTGGCACCGCATTCACATCAGTACGCATATCCATAAGTGTGTGTTTTTTTCAAACAGTTTCTTCGGGTCACTTCTTGTACGTTCGCAAACTAGCAATATCTTCATATCATTGCAGCCATTTGTGTGCTCAATGGCTTCCAAGCGTAGCTAAGGTCATAACATCTATCGTTTGGCCAGAGTTCGAGAGTTGGGTCTGAAGGAATAGTCCCCGCCCCGCAACCCCTTATTCTATTTTTATTTGTGCCCCCTTTCTGTGTTGTTTGAAACATGCTTACATGTCTTGCTCTTACGCAATGCTTCCTCGCGTTGCAGTAATTTGGTTTAAGGTACTTATATAGTCTATAGTAGTGCAACAGAAAAAGCAGCAATTCGCTCACTTCGCTTTACTTGTTCACTCTAGTGTACACTGTCAATTGTGAGTCTGAAGCAGGTTGATCCTATAGATAAGCCACGTTGCCACTGTGAGGGATTTGATCCTCACCCATACATACCTATACTCCATCCCTCCTCACCCCTAAGTGGCAGAGAACACATGAGCAACCATCTTTATTTAGCTTTACTTACTGTAAGTAGTCTACGGCATGCTCTATTTGCTTGTCTATCATCAGTATTCGCTTGTGAACAAGATAGGGCCCTCACATAAACGAGATACTTTTGTTCGATGACACTAAAGTAGTCTGAACGAGATAGCGTGATTTGCTACTAAAGGAGTCTGAACAAGATACAGTGACATGACCTCCTACTTAAGTAGTCTAAACGAGATAGGGCCCCCACATAATAGATAGTGTATTGAGTTTAGTACCAAATAAATGCCGCCCCACACATGAAAACCCTACGGTCGGTTAAGGGCGTGGTGTCTGCTAGTTGGACAACAATTTGGAAGCTTCTAGTGAGAACCGTCGCAAATAATGCCTGTAAACACATCCTGTCTTTCGGTGCCGGTAAACTGGAGCGGTTTGCGCCTGAATTATAGGGCCGAGGGGGGAAGTTTGCGAATCAATATGGATAGACACGCATAGACACATTGTTAAAGGTTCTTGTTTCGCTTCTAGTTTCTTTGCTGTACTGTAGATTCTTGCGATACTAGACCTTTACGATGGATTGGGCTTTCAGAGAGTTGGTTGAGATTCGAGAGCATCAAAGTGGAGCCACTTGTTCAGAAGTGTTATTTAAAAGCAATGAGACATCGAACCAGAACACTACGGATGGAATGGGAGCGGAAAAAGCTTCCAACCAAATATTCAGGAGAAAAAAGGCTTACTGACCAATAACAGGCCACTTTACACGGTTTAGCCATGACATTCAAGGGGATTGACGATAAGTTCTCAAGCTTTGTTTGTAGTTCGTGAGTTTGTTGAACCATGATATATAAACTGGGATGCTGTTACGCTGAATCCATGCTGAGGCGTTGTCTCAGATCGCATAAACTGCTAGAATTGCTAGATAGCTCATTAAGCTTGAGCTTGGCTGGGGGTGGGGCTATTTTTGTTCTAGAATGCTGCGTTCTTGAGCTTTTTTAAAACCGACAAACATTAGTAATCCATTGGCGATGTCGGTTATGCTGCCCAAGTGAGACTGCATTATTGACGTCGTGTGTGCTTGCCCTGTGGCCTTCCCAAAAGAGAAGCGAGAAAACCATTGATTATGTGAGTTATGCTGTCCGAATGGAACCAGTACTGGCACCCCAAATGCTGCTGAACTAATGCAGACTCGATCTTTCTTCCTTGCACGTACCCTTGCGTTCCACTTTTGCACCTCGTTGTTTGCATGACGGTGTTTTCCTCACTTCTTCTGACGCTTTGAGCCCTGCTGCGTTCTTTCCCGGCTCAGAGAGCACAAGTATCCGTGCGGGCGGCTTCGCCGCGAAGCGGTGTGAATATTTTGTCAGTTTTCACATGAGCCCTTCTGTGCATACTTGATGTCATTCTCAGTGACTACAACAGCAAGTTGATGTTGACGGCATTTATTCTTGCAATCCTTATGAGAAAGAACAAATATCCACTTACATAAACAGCTCGAGTTTGCGCATGCCCTCAACTATTAGGATATGGAGTTGGTGACCCTCCAGGGCAAAGGTCTACCATGGTCACAAATTCATTGTAGACCTACGTCTATGTCCTTGATCATTCTAGACCTTGTGGAGGCGAGCTTCAAACATGGTTGAATTCACTTTGAGAGCTTGACATGGCATTGAATTGCAGGGTTTTGGTTGCAAGGTTTTAGACCGCTGCTGTTGTTCTTTGATGGGGGGGTCTGACACCTTCCTGAGGGAAAACCAGTCACAATGCAACCATCGACGACAAGTCGTTGAGAGTATGTTTGCAATGGGTGTATCACAAGTGAATACAACTGTGCATGTACGAATGTGAGATGTGCAGCTGTGCCGCTTGAGGTGTGCAGAGAGGGTTTGATATAGAAAGTCAATTTGAAGTAGGAGAGATGAAATGCAAGTTGTATAGGAAAATCACAAGGAACAAGACTGAAGGGACAACTTCCATGGGGCGTTGCTACTCTAGTACCTCAGACTTTGCATTCTGGTACAAAAGCCGGTACAAGGTTCACACTTGCTAGAATCTTGCGTGCTCCGTCCATTTTGAATCATTTCTCTATATAATACATGTACATATACACATAGGCTTCTAGATATCGTTCATGATAGTGAAAGCCAGCCGGAAGAGGCTGAAGTTACTTTCTGCGAGCAAAGTGAGTATGTAAGGAGTGTGGGGGGGAGACGGCTCCAACTGCCAGTGAACGCTGGAATCTTAATTGTGTTTATAGTCTTTGGTGGAGGCAATTGTATGTGAGTCGGTGATGCAGAAGATGCAAGTTGTAATCGCAGCGACATCATTTGCATCAGAAAGGTCCTGCATGCTGGTTTCCATTCTCAGTATGTGTTTTTTTCCATGTCCCAAGGGTATTGTTCTTGTATCATCTTGTATCCTTCTCAAACAAAAAAGATCCAACAGTGACAGTGCGAGCACCGTTGCTTTTGTAGGGGGTATCGATAGATACACCTTATGGAGTGAGTATCAGCTCCAGCATGGTTGCACCCTTGGCTTCCGAAACGCTTTGAGATGTTCGACTTGTTGTTATTGTTGCTATTGATATTGACTTACAGACTCCTGTAATTAGATGCTGTGTAAAAAAGATGCTGCTTACACCTTGCAGGTGATTCGAGCATTCCGAGTATCGCGATTACCATCCCCGCAGCACACTAAGCAGGAGAGAAGCAACCCACACGGATGCCGTCATGAATCCTTAGCAAACATGAAATAGGACGCTACTAGGGGCTCCTGGCCTTACTACTAGGAGCAAAGGACACTACTAGGAGCAGGGATG